CCAGCGGTGTTCGACGATTGTTTCATGGATCTGAAAACGGACACTTTTTCAGCCGAACACCGCTGAAGCCGTCGACTTCCCCTTCTCAATCGACAAAAGCATACGAATGACAGCCGTTCGGGAGATTCAACCACACGAATGGACTTAACCCAGATAGCCGTCCCATGGAGTCAATCGCATACCGAAGAACTGAAAGAGACTTTGACTCCATGGCGATTGAACTGTGCGAACAGGATCTGAGCGCTATTCTCCAATAATGTGCCCTCAGATCCAGGCTATCTGGGGATATGCAAGACTAATGTAAAATGTTCAACAGTTATTAAGTTATGGATTTTTATGTGTTTTTGTAACTTGTGTTTAAAATGGCGATTGCCTCTGCTCGAGAGATAATTGAATTACTTCCCAATTATCCCCCGAGCAGAGGGGAGGGAACTGTACTGCATGCTGGGAATATTGTGGGGATGTATGTCCAGACTGTCCCCATGTCCCTCTGTGATTTCAGTCTCCCATTTGGTCCCCTAGGGGAGTGTCCACCAAGTGGGAGACCTGCATAAATACCGGGCAGGTAGCCCACAGTAAACCAGTTCGTGTTTTACCCTCAAAGCGGAGCTTGGTCTCGTTATTGGGGGGATTTGGTTACCAGCGCTTAGAGACTGCTGATTGGAATTATTTGCCGCTTGGAAGGTATTAGCGTTCGGCTAATATTGGCAGTTCGTGGATTTGGAGCCCGTGGAGGGAAATAGCCGTACAGGTACCGTTCGGGAGTTTGAAGTGTTCCCTAGCTGGCGGTTCGCACGGTTTTACTATACCCGCTACCAGCCTACATTATTGCGAACGGGGAGCATTCACTAAACGGCGGTTTGTGCATTTCATTACTGGAGGTACCGTAACACTGATAAATTCACATTTAAAGAGGAACGGAGTACATTTTGCATCTGCATTTTATTTATTAATCTGGAATTTGTATTTCCATTTCCGAGTCCTGTATCTATTATTGATTTATTTCAATAAGCATTTATCACTTTTTTATATATTTTACAAGTGACAGTAGTTATGGTTGTCATGACAATGACCCCTTCACGCAGAGAGTAACCAAGAAAGAGACGTATACCGGACCTTTAGGGTGGCCAGGCTCAACGTCAGAGAATAGTCAAAGGAATAGCCTGTCAGGATATTTATATTGGCAGACATTTTGGGCTAAGAAAGAAATTTAAAGTGTATATTGCCAGAGTCACTCAGAACAGAGCGGACTCCATTTTGCGATCTTCAGGATAACAAAGACACATAATTTCCTTGCTTTCACTTGTCACGGGTGGCGGTCCGGTGCCCGGGACCCAGACACTGTCCGGGCGGCGGTGCGTGGACCGGGACCCATTATGCCTGATGTTGAGTGTAGGAGTCACAGTGTGGAGATGGATTGGCAGGGTCTGGTGCAGGGTAACCACACGCCCCCTGGTGTTGAGCACCAGCGTTTGTGCAGCCACATACCAGAACCCTGATTCAGCTTATGCGGATCCCAGGAACTAGGAGCAGATAATTAAGCAGACCTCCCAGGAGCTGAATAGGGAGGCTCTGCAACAGGGATGTATCCAGTACTGAATCAAGGCAGAACTAGGAGAGCAAGACACCATACATGAAACCAAGACCAAACTAGGAGAACAAGGAATTACTAGAAATAGACATCATGCAAGAGATCAAGATAAGATTAGGAGAACAGGGCAAGACTAGAAATAGGCACCATACATGAAAACAAGACAAAACTAGGAGAACGCAGAACCAGAGCAGGACAGAAAGCAGAACCTAGAACATGTACACAACACATAAGGGAACATTAACTAAACAGGGGCAGGACAGGACTGTACATAGACTGGGATTACAAAACAAGACAAGAGATACAAGGAAAAACCAAGAGGAAACATAGCTAAGCACTAATTATGAAAAGCATGGGGATTTAGTTACATTATATGATCATACATTGCATAAGCCTGCCAACAACGCCAATGTACCCCATATCTGGCAGGTCCTACACTGCCTAATGTATACTAAAACAACCACACTAAACCACAATAGCACTTACCTGCAAGAAAGGGCAGAGAGATGAAATACTGCTGCAGGTCCAAGCTGAAACAAAAGGGTAAGTGGAAACAAGCGGGTGTGGCAACATAAAACAAACATTTAAAGGAAACCTGGAGACTGGGAATCCCAGGCATGGATTACAGAAATGAACCCAGAAATCCCAGCAACAAAGAAAACCAGACATAGACCAGAAAAACCAAGCAAGGAAAGCAAAAAGAGTACTGAATACCAGAAGCCAATGCAGAATGATCCGCAGCGAGGAACAGAACGTGACACACTAACCACTGAGCCTGAGCTAAGGAATGCATTATATAAGCACAGACACTAGTGACAGAGAAGACTAAGTAATTAATTTTACTTTCTAAATTTTACAAGGTCCCATTGTAAGTAAGGGGTGAAATTGAGTTTAGAACTGTCAATTTTACAAATTACGATCAAAGTAGTTGCCACAAAGACTGAGACAAACGCTTTGAACTGACAGCAAATTTAAGTTATGGTAGTTATTTTAGATAAGCCAAATGACGTCAAAATCGTCATCAGGAAAAGTTAACTCTTTCCTGGATAGGAAGGTTTAGTAACGCGAGACTGCTCTCTATGGACCAAATACCTAAATTGCGATCCATAGATTGAACCCACCCTCAGTTTCCTATTGGCCTTATCAACGAATGACGTACAGGGAGTCTGACCCTTTAAAAGTTAGGACAAAGGGAAGAGAGAGGTTAGTTGGTAGAGAGAGGGAGTTAGTGGAGTTTGGGGATTCAGATTCGGACATGCAGTGAGAGAGATTCAGGACACTCTCTGGGACTAACACTCAACTCTTAAACTCCTTGACACTTAAAGTTTACTGATACTTTCTAACCAACACCACTTTTCTCTATTACTCATGCACCTCCATACAACCAATCAAGTTTCTGGGACTACCTACTCATCTGATGAGAATATCTACATAACTGGTAATTATGCTGGTTTTATTTAATTAATTTAAATTAATTAAAATTTACTAATAGCATGATATATGGACTGGATAAATCACGGTCAGGTTTCAATATTTAGAAATCTTAGTTAACTAAAGAATATATAGTTATAAACATTCCATTCTGCAGGTGGAATTAAGAATAATTATATATTAATGTGATAGTATCACGTGTTAGCATACCGTTGTTTTTATCCAGGTGTATTGATTTGCTCTAATATAAGATCAGATATCTTTTTAGGCAAATTAAAATTCGGCTTTTGTAAAAATCTGGTAGATTATGCTTATCGTATGGTTCCAGGAAATGATTAATGAGCTGGTTCGAATGTTATTTTAATTGAAAATTACATGAGAATAGGTTATTATATGCCTAGGAGGATCTAGCCAGCATTGAAAGGGTTACTCAGGTGATTTAACTGTTAGCCAAGGTTTTATGGCTTTTCTCTGTGTGAAGCTTTACTTTTTGTCTGTAAAGTACCCTCATAAATCTTATTAAGTGACAGATGATGCTGTTAGCCATTGGAACGTGTATAGCCATTCCATTGTATTGCATACTTATGTTATACTAAATATTCACTGATTATTATCATGCATGCTGCCTAATATTATTCTTATTTTATTTGTCACAATAAATTAAATCTATTTTTTATCACAAATTCTGATTTTATTTGTATGGAATACATTTCACTTACATGATAACGATCTCTAAGATCTAAGAGAATTGAAATAGTGGGCCATTCTCGACTGTTTAATATTATCATCCCATAAATATCCCCACAAGCCAGAGGTCAAGGGATTACAGAAAACGGAATACAGAAGGAATAACCAAGCCAAAATTAGGGGAGCCAGAGAGGAGAATAGTCAGTAAGGAAAGCCAAGGGTCAATATACCAGAAAACAGACAAAATTATAAAGAGCACTAGAAGGAATGAACAAGAACCACACTAGGTCGCTGAGGGAAGGACAGGGACGCCCTTTTATAGTGAGGTATCACTTGCTTTAAAGCCACGCCCCCAAAAGGTTCGGGAGTGTGGCCACATTTGATTTTTCGCTGCAAAATCCTGTTGAGGTCGGAGCGCATGCACCGCGTCAGAAGAGGAGGCGTGCCGCGAGCGGCCAGCGCCAGACAGGCTCCGCCGCCTCCCAGAAGCAGCCAGGGAGAAATACACGCTGCGCGGGTCCGGAGAGAAACGGTAAGGTATCGTCACAGTACCCCCCCTCGAGAACCGCCCCCAGGGCGGGGAGGACTCGGCCTGCGAGAACAACGCCTAACAAACGAACGAACCAGGCGAGGAGCGTGTACATCGGAGGCATCTACCCACGAACGTTCCTCGGGGCCATACCCTTTCCAGTCTAAAAGATATTGGAGACGACTCCTAGAAATACGAGAGTCCAAAATAGATTTCACTTCGTATTCGTTTTGGCCTTCTACGAGTGTTGAAGGTGGTCTCATGGGTATTCGAGTATAACGATTACAAATTAAAGGTTTAAAGAGAGAAACATGAAAGGAATTGGGTATCTTCATAGTAGCTGGTAAATCCAGGCAATAACAAACTGGATTAATGCGTTTGAGGATTTTAAAAGGACCAATAAAACTTGGAGTGAATTTCATAGAGGGGACTTTTAATCTTATATTGCGTGTACTCAACCATACTCTGTCCCCTACCATAAAAGTCGGAGCGGCTTTTTGTCGTTTGTCTGCTTTACATTTTTGAGTTTCAGCCTTTTGAGTCAAAATATGTTTTACCCCTAACCAAGTTTCCTTCATATTCTTAATAGTGTTGTCAGCGCTTGGCACTTCCGTGGATGAAAAGGAACTCGGAAGAGTAGTAGGATCAAAGCCATAATTTATAAAAAAAAAAAAAAGAAAAAAAAAAAGGGACTGTGTTACGTAGATTCGTGAATCATGTTATTGTGGGCAAATTCAGCCGAAGGAAGTAATTCTACCCAATCATCTTGATGATCGGAGGTGAAGCAGCGAATGTATTGTTCAAGTGATTGATTCATCCTTTCTGTAACCCCGTTAGATTGGGGATGGTACGAAGAAGATAGATTAAGTGTGATACCCAATTGATTACAAAATGCTTTCCAGAAACTGGAAATAAATTGTGGACCTCTGTCTGAAACTATATCCACAGGTATACCATGCAAACGAACCACCTCCCTTATAAACACCGTGGCCAGTTCGGAGGACGAAGGCAATTTGATTAAAGGGACAAGATGGGTCATCTTAGAAAATCTGTCTATTATAGTCAGGATTACCAGGTGATTTTTGGAAAGGGGTAGGTCCACTACAAAATCCATGGCGATACTCGACCAGGGTTTATCGGGAATAGGCAACGGCATGAGGAGAACTAAAGGACGACTCTTAGGAGATTTATTAGAGGAACAGATGTTACAGGCTAAAACAAATTCTCGAATGTCTTTCTTGTATGAGGGCCACCAGAATTGTTTTTCGAGTAAAGATTCAGTCTTATGGAGACCGGGATGACCGGCAACCTTAGAGTCGTGTACCAAGGACAGGATTTGTCTCCTATAATTTAAAGGTACGTATAATTTTCCCTGAGGGATAGTCAAAGAGTTATGATCCTGGAATTTGGATAATACCTCCATTAAAATAGAAGAGATCTTAGCATGAACTGTGGCTACTATGTGAGAGGTAGGGATTATGGAGGATAAATGGTGTGAAGAGACCAATCTTGCCACTGTGCATTGGAGGAGCCTGGTTGCCTACCTGCTGCCTTTTGACTATGGACGGGCATTCAAATACTGTATTTTCCTATGCAGAAAGGTCTATTCCTGTATTTCTGCCCTGGCGTTCGGTAGATTCTCGGATTTACTGAATGAACTCATTTAACCCAGATAGCTATGCAATGGAGCCTATTCGTGTAATAAAGGACTTTGGCTTCATGGCAATGGAACTGTGTGTGGTCTGAGAGCCAATCAGTAATAATGTGCGCTCAGGCCTAAGCTATCTGGGGATATGTTGCATGTCTGTATTTTATGTAATAATGTAACCTTGTGTATTTTATTGTATTTTACTGCCATGTGCTTAATGGAGTTTTGCCTCTGTACTTGGAGATAATTGGATTACTTCCCAATTATCTCCAGGATAGAAGACTCTGTGGAACTGGTTTTGGGCAGAAAAGCCATGCTTCCTTTGGTTGCAAAGGACTTCGATCTATCTTTTGACCCACTGGACCAATGTGGATGATTTTGACATATGTTCGTATTTGGAGTATGCTGATTCTTAAAATGTAAGTTGTATGTGAATGTGATGCATACTTTTAAAGTGAATAATGTGGAAATAATTATATTACCCATTGTGAAAGGTAATTATATCACAGGCAGAGGGGAGGATTTTGTGTGGGAGTGTCTGAGTGTATTGTATGTGTTTATTGGTTGTTTTCCAAAACCCTGTGGGTGGTACTAATTTGTATATAAGAACAAAAAAAAACACAGCTATGTCTGTTCACTGCTTGACGCTCAACATGGAGCTTTGTCTCGTTCTTGAGGGAATTAATTGTATGCTGTTCCAGTTCGACTGCTAGGAGTGTAAACCTATTCGTATGGTTTTTCCTATTCAGCTGTTTACGGCATTCATATGGTTTCCTGTTCGGCGGATTGGTGTTCTGCAGTAGCTGTGTGTGACGAAACCGACCTCGCCACTGGGCACTGGAGAAGACTGATTGCCAGCCTTCTACCATGTGACTATGGCCCCTGGGATGTATTGCCCTTTAAAGACATGATTTGGACATAATGTATTTGTGTTGTGCTGCTGCTGGCCCTTTAAGAACCATCTTTGGGACATACTGTGGAGGTACTGGGTGGCCACCATTTCATGTATCAGAGGCACATGGTGAGAACAATGGATGAAGCACATGGTGAGAACAATGGATGGCGGCCATTTTAACTCACAGACACTGTTTGGACTTTTCTACACGGTGCCATCTCAACGGTATTTGGTGCACAGAGACATTGTGCAGTGGTTTTGGACTATACAACAGGGGACACATTATACAGTAATTGTTTTTCATATAGCCTGTATATGTTCTGCAGAATCTGCATTAAACTGTATTTTCCAAAGTACTGAACGGATCTGGGTGAATTTTGGATATGTGGTTACGTCAAGGGATTACAGAAAACTGAATACACGAGGAATAACCAAGCCAAAATTCAGGGAGCCAGAGAGGAGAATAGTCAGTAATTGCCGAGGGTCAATATACCAGAAAACAGACAAAATTATCAAGAGCACTAGAGGGAACGAACAAGAACCACACTAGGGCGCTGAGGGAAGGACAGGGATGCCCTTTTATAGCGAGGTATCACTTGCTTTAAAGCCACGCCCCCAAAAGGTTCGGGAGCGTTGCCACATTTGATTTTCTGTGGCAAAATCCTTATGACGTCGGCGCGCATGTGCCGCGTCATAAGAGGAGGTGTGCCGCGAGCAGCCAGCGCCAGACAGGCTGCGCCACCTCCCGAAAGCAGCCAGGGAGAATGCCGCGCTGTGCGGGTCCGTAGGGAAAAGGTAAGGTATCGTCACAATGGTTGTCACATCCAATCTCGAAGTTTAACTTCAGAAGGATATTCTACCATTTATTGGTGTTTATTCATTATATAGTTGTATATTTATTAATTGTTTTTTTTTTTTTATGTTCACCATGACCCACACTATTATTTATTTGGTATGGTTAGGGGGCAGAAAGATTGTGGTGAGATCAAACACTCATAAAACTCTTCACATAGGATATACAAGGGACTAAAAAAAACTAGTTGAAAATATGAATTGATAATTACATGAAACATTGGTGGCAAGGCCACTCTAGTTCTGGGCTGGCTGATGATGTCTTAATGACGCCACTCCGGCAGCAGATGTGCTTAACTCTGTATGTGCAACATTTCATTACTGCACATTCAGATTCCAGTCACCATAACAACTTCAAATCACAAGCGTTCATGGTGCTTGGAGTAACCCTTGACCTAACAGAGGTAAGTAGTCACATTGAGCGGTTTAATATGTATACATTGTCATTCAGATAGATTATTCTACTTTGTATGTTAGGAGTTAAAAAATTCAAACTGAGAAATAAAGTTCTGATATAACATATTATTATGGTATAACAAACGCTTAAAGGTAAACTTTTGACAACAATGAAGGAATTTGTAACAGAGATGCAGAATAAATGTGAATACAAAGCAAGCAGTGCTAACAGAGATTATTCACTAAAGGGTGAATTGGTAGGAATTTTAAGTGAGTTGCAAATTTAGTCAAATGGGATTAATTATCCGAATGCCTTAAATGTGAATCGAGCTGTGAATTCCTGACCATAAAATAAGCAGTTTGTTATCTCTTTAATAGTGGTTATTAACAGACTGAAAGGCACTGATCGCTGGTGAATGATAATAAAGTCCATCTTACATCAAAATAGATACAGAAAAATATAAGCTTGTGCTTCAACACAACGTGAGAAAGATGAAACCACTCGCAGGACAATGATTTCTATAGTCTATAAACTGACACAAGACACATTGAAAATCACTGAGTATCAGGTTATCACATTTCCACACTTAGAGCAATATGTGAGTGATTGGGCAAGTAACAATGAGTGCATCCTGTAGATGGCGCTTACTGCAATAGATTAAACAGACTACGCACTATAAATACTACTGGTTATTATAATAGAGCAAGAAGCCTTTGTGTGCTGCCTCCTGGATTTCCGTAAAAAATAAATAATACTGTTCTGTTTTACCCTTCCAAAGCTGTCCAAACAGACACAGAGGAGAGGTGAAAACCATAGCATCATACTGGCAGCTGTAGAGGGTCAAGACTGGTTTTCTTCAAACCACTTAGAAAATGTTGGACAGAGAATGGCACCCAAGCACTCACCGCACCATAACCATGTCAATAAGCCATAGTGGTTACGGTGCTTTAAATATCACTCACAAGGAGAAGCCATAATGGTTTCCAATGACGAATGTGTAGTTAAATGAAGACATTGCTTGTAACAGCGCAATAACCAAGCACGATGATTGATTGACGAGATATCTGACAGCGATCTTGATCATTTCGATAAAATTAACAACACTATGCACAGTGGTGAAAAACGTGAACATGATTAAAGGGTTACTCCAAACACCATAACCATTTCAGTGATTTGAAGTGGTCATGGTACCTGTATCTTCAGCACTGTACATACAGAGATTAACCCCTTAGCTGCTGCACGTGCAACTCCACTTCCGGCAGCATCACTAATTAGCCAAGAACAAAGTTCCGGGTTGGCTAATGTCAACTCTGTGTAAAGTTGGCGTCTGACTCCATCATCCTTAGCATGCTGGTAATAGATGGCTAATAGTGGCACTGGCCACCTTCCCTCCTGCTACTTTCCTGTTTAACCTCCCTCCCCCATGTTGTCAGCAGAGGAAGATCAGGCTCCAGGGAGAATTGGACTTGGCAATTGAACAAACGTGGGTTTTAGCACCCTCAAAAAGGGTCACTCTAACCAAAACCAGTGTTTTATGAGAACACTTTTTTGGTTGGAGTATCCCTTTACGTTCATTTTTGTGCACATGTTCACCTGTGAAACTGGCTACTGTGAAACAAATCAAAAAAAGATATATAAAAAAAAACAAAAAAAAACATTGAATTGAACATAAGGTTACATAGAACCAACTGATTATACTGTCCATCACTTCACTATATTGCAATTCTGACAGATTATTGAATGGCCCCTTCGAACATGGCTGTCATCATTTGTTTCATTTTGCAATGCAACATCACTATTCCTTCATCCAGTTAGTTCCAAAGGAAGCTCTCGGCCACACAAAATCTCCCACTGTCTTGCAAGAAGAGAAATCAATTTCTCACGGCAGTCTGCACTTGGAATAAATATATACCAATGGACCTCACGGCTTCTGACGCACGCTTTCTGGGATTTTGGGGACATGCAGGTTTCACCAAAGTGGTCAATTGATAAAGTGTACATTAGGTCTTTGCTGGGAATGTCATCAAACACAAAGGTCAGGGTCTGTGGGTACGTCTGGTATCCCAGCAACACCCTGTCCAAATCTCGTATTCGCCTCCCATCAACTAACTGGTACTTATCTGTCTTGGGAGGTTCTTTGGCAAAATCAGGTAGAGGGTAACAAATATAGTCTTCATTTAATAAGAACAGGTCAGAATTGGTCAGAATAAGTGTCTTTGGTCGAAGGAATGGATTCTGGACATCCCCATTGGCTGAATTAACTTGGAACACAAGAACATACAATAAGATATTCAATGATTGGTGATCAGGAGAAATTTCAGTTTTTTCCTTCACTATAAAAGTTAGGTCTCCAATTTCTTCTTCATTTGGATAAATGAATTTTACACGGCTGGAATGAATAAGTTCATAATTTTCCATTTTCCCTAGAACAGAAAAAATAAATAAAAAAAAATCAAGTGAGATTATGGTCTCTCAATCTAATTCATTTAACATTTTTTTTTTTTAATTTATGGAAATTATGGAATATTTTTATTTACAAATAGAAGATGAATCACAATGCCAGTCTGTTTATTCACTAAAACGTGAGCAATAGAACACTGACAAAGGAATTGCAGTCTCCAACTCCGCTGCTATTGTGTACAATGCCCATCGGGTTAGTAAATAGCACAAACACCAATACTACATACAAAATCACATCTGCATTTAAAAGCCAACACTACATACAAAAACAAACACTACGCACAGGTACACCTCCGCATTAAAATGGCAGCAGTACATACAAATACAGCCCTACATGCACATACATACTCTATACAAAAACATGCTTACATTCAAACACACAAACAACAACCCTGTAAGGATGGGCAAATGGTAAATCCCCAGCTGGTACAGCATCATTCGAATTGTATGAAAGATGGAGATCTACCTTTGGCCACTCTTGCTTTAGAGGGGGCCCGAAAAAAACTTTCTTACACCAGGGCCTTCTTTGCATTATTCCATCACTGGAGCTAATATCTGGAATATCCCTTCAATAGTCACTTTATATTAACTGATCACTGATAGTAATGTGTAATAATTGT